ATAAATAATAAACAAGAAATAGAACGTAAAATAGACAAAAAAAAAAGTTTAAACTGTAAAAGAAAAAGAAATGAAATAACGTAGAAAATAATAAAGAAGTGAAAGCGGTATTTGTGGGTTACCATCCTTTAGCTTCAGACGGTCCACCAATGCTCAATGTACTCAAAGAAATATAAATAAATAAAATAACAGAAAATTACAAAAAAAAATTAAAAATAATCCAAATTGTATATAAGGGCCGTCACTCTCTAGTTTCAGACGGTCCATCAGTGCTACTTCCCGTAGACCCACATTCCTTATCTCAGCATTCATTCTGAGTCCTGGCTTTACCTTTGCAGAAGTCGGTCAGAAAACGCATTGCCATGCCGTACTGAGAACTGAATGAATTACTACTTAAACATTTGCACTTGCTGATTTTTCTACATTTTCCTCAATCTCTTTACCCTTAAAAAAAAAAAAAGTAAAAGCTTACAAACTTTTTTAATTAGGCCCACAATTGAGCTCCCTTTCTCCCTCTCACTCTCTCTCTCTCTCTCACACCATTTCTATTTCGCTGTTTGCTTTCTTACACTGCCAAGCACTTTCGTCCAATTAATTTCCTAATGAAATTAAACTAAAGGCCAGAAAACTAAAATCTCAGAGAGGAAACTTTCAGCCGATTTTAACATTTCATTTCGGGCGGTTTCGATTTCCAGGCTCGAAAGCTCCAAGTGAAGGGCTTAAATTGTGGCACGTTGCACGTGCAGCCGATTATAATTCCGATCTCGCTGCCATATGCCCCGGCTAACCCACCGGGAGCAGTGCGTGTTCATATAAGAACTCTCTGACGGGCCAACACACACACACACACACACACACACACTCGACTGCATAAAATTAGACATACACATCTTTAGGGCTGGAGGGGGCGTAGCAGATGGGGAAGTAATATTTTTTGTGCTGCTGGAATTTGTATTTGTTGTATTTGGTGCGAGCGAAGCAGCAATGCAATAAATCCTGAAAACTGACATGACATGACAAACAGGATTACACGGCATGCCTGGCAAGGCTTAAATTGGTAACACACTCCATTCCACACGGCACTCGAGGCGTGGGCAGGTGTGGGGCGGGTGGTGCTAGCTGGGAGCTGGGCATGTGGCAAATGTTGGCATAACGAAAATGGACCACAGTCAACCAGCAGCTGAGGGTTAATTAGTGGATAACACAGCCCAGACTCTATCCAAATCTCCTCTTGCCCTCTGGCTAAAGCTCCATTACAATTTCTGTGTTAGTTTCCCGCCCGGGAGAGAGTGACAGGTGGTGCCTCTCACTCCCACCTCCCCCCACAGCGTGTGCAAGGGCCAGGTATGAGCTGGTGTGCAGAACGCAAAACTCAGCTCAGCTCGTCTCTAATTAATACCACATACCCCCACTCCCAAACCCCCCCCCCATGCCGCGCGACTAAATGATTTGTGCTGCCCACAAATTTATTTATTCAGGCCCATTTTTATTTCTGCACTTCAGATTGATTTATTCGCGTTGAACTGCAAAAGAAAAGCCCAGAAATTAGGAATAGAATAGGGCAGGCAGGGTATAACTGACTTATATATACTCTACTAAATTCGTAATATAATATTTTTGAAAACGAAAGAAAAAGCAACTTTAGTTGGCTTTAGTAAAATAATTTGTTGAGATCATTTTTAAAGTACAATAAATTAAAAATTAAACACTACATTTAGGCTAACTAATTTGCTGACAAATAAATAACAATAAAAAATAAAATAATATATATAAAATTAATAGAAATCAAAAATATAAATTTAATAGAAAAAAAAGAAAAAATATTTATTTTTACAACAATTTAAATTGTATTTACTTAGACTGAGTCATTGTGAAGTTTTTTAATAATTGAAATAAAATAATATATATAAATTTAATAGAAATCAAAAATATAAATTTAATAGAAAAAAAAGAAAAAATATTTATTTTTACAACAATTTAAATTGTAATTATAAAATTAAAATTTATTTCCATTGAAATCTAAGTATATTTTTTTTAATATTGAAATTGAGCATTTAAAATAGGTGAATAAACATTTACATATATTTGTTTATAAGAAAAATAAGTTCAAAATATATAAATAAATATAAAAGTAATTTCCATTGAAATCTAAGTATATTTTTTTTAATATTGAAATTGAGCATTTAAAATAGGTGAATAAACATTTACATATATTTGTTTATAAGAAAAATAAGTTCAAAATATATAAATAAATATAAAAGTAAAAAAATATTTTTTTTTTATACAAAAAGTATT